TTATTCCGTTACGGATTAGGGTTAAATTAAAAAGTTAAATTAAAAATTAACTTTTATGGAAATTAATTTATCCTTTTAAGGAAATAATGCATTGTTTTCCAAAAAAGGAAATATTAATTTCCTTTTTTATCGAACAATGTACATTGTAAAGTCCAAATAAGGAAATTTAGGGTTTCCTTTTTTGGTTTAATAAGGTTTTTAGGGTTAGGGTTCGGGTTAGGGTTCGGGTTAGGGTTAGGGTTAGGGTTCCCACTCCTTTCGGGGTGGGCTTTTTCCTTTTACTAACACCCTTAACTTGTTAAAAAGTTATCTTTTTTACTGCCAGATAATGCAATCATAAGAGGGAACTATATACCGTCCTTTACCTAAGTATGTTCAATATTAGATTCCTTTAACTTTATTGATTTACTCCCTTTACAGGTGAGCGTGCAAAACCTTCTTTTTTGCTTTATTAAGTATATCAATTACGGCTGTACCTTTACGGACAGGAAACGCAACTCTTAGAGTGCGATTTGAATGTACCGAAGCATTGTAATTGTATAGTTTAAAAACCTTTTTAAATAATTTTATAACCACGTCACGGCTTGGACTATTATTTATAGGGAGGATAAAATCAATATGACTAATATAGTCATTTTTGAAATCTTTTACTTTAAGTAATTCCTCTCTATCCGAATAGTTGTTAATAGTAAGGTGTTTATTAATTTCAACTATAGGATATCTCCGATTTTGTAAAAAGTGTTTAAATTCATAAAGCGCTTTATCATAAAAATTAGAGTTATCCGAATTTCGGATTAGGCGAATATTTTCACCTTGAATCCAAGAATAACGATAGTTATATGGATAATAAGATTCAGTGTCAGTATATGCATGGATGTTCGTAGGCTTATCATACGGAGATATAGAAATAACACCGTATGCATTATAAACTGAAGTTAAACAAAGACACATTTCTAAATTTAAATCTAAAAATGACACTTTATTAGCTGTAGTTCCATCTAGCTCAAAATAAGATGGAATAGCAGTTGCACTTATCCTATTACCAATAAGGTCTAAAGAGAAACCTTCAGCAAGCACAGCGAAGATATCGTCAATGTAAGACCTTATAATAATAATTGAGTCCCAGAACATGTTATTAGGTTCACCAAAGGAATCAATTAATACCTTAGCCATATACAAATTAGCTGCAACAGGTGCTACGGCACTACCCATAGCTAAACCTTTAATTTGTTTATACCAATTGTTTTGGTATTTGACATAGGCATTATCATTAACCCATTTCAGTAATTTAACTTGAAATTCTGCGACTTCTGGTCGTACTCTAAGGTAAATTAACATTTCCTTAATTCTTACACAGAGGTCGTCAAGGTCAATATTTGTATACATATCTTTAATATCCCATGTATACAAATTAGCAGTAACTGGCAATTTTTTACTTTTGTTAATTGCCTCTAATTCTTTAACTAATTTTAGAGAATTAGGCAAGATGTAATCACATTTTGTAAGTAGAGTTGACCATTTTTGGGCCAAATACTTGGAGACGTCACTAGTAACCCAAGCATAACTTGGAGTAATCGGACGACTCGAAATGGGATTTTTATGCAATTTAGGGATAATATAGAACAAAGGTGGAGGAAATTCTTGTTCCGGGTCAAGCATATTTTCCAAGAAATTTTCCACACAATATTTTTCAATATATTCGTTAGATATACTCATTATAATATCGAACAAAGTTGCATATACTTCGATTGTATTTAGAGACCAATCGGCTTGCATTTGTGTATACACAGAAAGATTACCCAAATGTTTATTGACTTGATAATTATACCAATTATAGTCCATAATGGTTAATCCCATATTTTTATCTGCGCATGTTACTACTAAATTATTTTCAACAAAAAAATCAAATGATTTATTAATCAATTTGTTTATACCAAACTTAGACTTATGAAAGCGATTACGATTAAATATAGTTTTATTAAATAAATGTCGGGATATTACATTAAAACTAGTATCTAATACATGTTTTTTAACAAGAAACAAGGAAATATCTTTCGACCTGGCTCTATCCAGTTCTATTTCGATACGCCTTTTTATTTCTTGCCAGTCTTTTTGGCACTGATGATTTGAACAGTATTTTGTAAGTTGGAAGTTAGTACCACGATCCAGACTTTTCCAAACGTACATAGGTAAATACTTCAAGGATGAAATGTTGTTAACACTCACATTTTTTGGGGTTTTCTGCCTTTCGGCTTTGGGCCCTTGGGACGTTGAGGGGGTGGTTGTTTGTTTGGTTGTTTGGGGGAGGACTTCTTTTTGTTTTTGCTTTTTTTGCTTTTTTTGCCTCCTTCTCCATCCTTGGCTTTTCTTTTTTTGCTTGCTGATATTTGGTTCTATAATTTCCAAAATATCAGTGTTAGTGTCTTCGTCAGATTCTATAGTTTTATCACTATCACTAGCATAACCTACCATGGTGGGTGTATCACCCATGGCAACTTTGGCTCGAAATGTATCAACAAACACTTTAAACGAATGGTCATTAAATCCAGCAATATTTGTTGCTAGGTCTGTCCAATGTTTAACAATTTCCGCAGTGGAATCGCTTGTTGTGTTATCGTGAAGCAATTTATCACCGGCTGTTTTTAACTCAGCGGTGAATTTAGGAACAAGCTCGTTCCTAGCTTTTTTAAATTGGGTGACCTTATCGGTCAAAGCAGGACGTAATGGGCACAAATTTTTTCATGTACCTCAGCATTGATGGTGGTTACCACCTCTGGGTCGATTTTTGCTGGTACCTTGATTTTTAGATCATGCAGACTACCAACTGCAAGTTCAGATGCTTTGGCCAATTTGGCCTCGGCCGAATCAAGTGCACGTGAAATACTAACGTATTTCTGCTTGTACACAGCAAGAACGGGCAGAGAAAGATCATCGACATTCTGCGCCCCTGCAATAATTTTGGTACGGGCAATTTGTTTGCCCTTGGAACTACTACTACCGGCAGAGTTGGTAATTTCAATTCCTTCCATTTTATTATTGTAGTGTTTTATTTAAGAAAAAAATTTTTATAAAGTGTTATTATTTTGTTTTAGGGTTAGGGTTACTAACGAGCTAGCAATCTAAGATCGATTTCGTCCTATTTGGGACTCTTCAGTTAGATGTAGC